TATTTTGTTAGAACTCAATGATTATCCTAATTATATTTTAGATTTTTTATATTTAAAATGAGATGTTTATCCTGTATTGGATTGTGTTTATCTGCAGTTAGTTACACGAATTCAGTTATGGGATGGAATCGGATAGGGATGAAATCGTTTAGGGATGAGTGAGTTTAAGAGATTAAGAGTTTAAGAGTTTTTAAGAGTTTTAGCCAAATGCATTATAATATAGTATAGATATATATAATTTTAGTCTATCAAAGTGAATATGGCGGAAGGTTATGTTAATACAAAGAGTCGAAAGAAAGGATCAACACTAGCAATCAACATTATTATAATTATGATATATTCAACTTTGTCGTGGATATGTAGATTTGAGAGTATGGTGATTGTTTTAGTGAGATAACTATCGACTTGTTTCAAAATATAACAGCTTTGAATCCATACAATTCCTTTTCTCAGTTTAACAAATCAAGCTTGTTGAAGTTGAGTGAGATATATCCACATGATGTTGATGACAAGGAAATGATCAATCTTGAGCATGAAATTTTGACATCTACTATCACTCTGTGTATAAAGATGTCAGATTTGCCAACTTAAATGACATTGTCGACGTTGCTCTAGACTGATGGTGGCTACAAGATAACATATTTCTCATCCCTTAGTCTGCCAATTATTGAAGCTAATATTGGTTTCACCATTGTAACCGCTACAACTGAAAGATGTTTTTCGACAGTAAAGCTTGTCAAGTCAAATCTACGTAATCGAATTGGTAATGATTTCTTAAACACTGTGTTCATTTTTACCATAGAAAAAGAAGCACATGACAATGTTAAGAATAAAGATGTCATGGATTTTTTTCAAAAGATAAGATACATCGAGCACAAATTTAGGAGTTGTTTCTCAATCCTATAAAAACCGTACTTATTGTAATTATTTTCTGGTCTATATTGACCATTTCCAAAATATGAAGACACGTCGAGCACAAATCTAAGAGTTGTTTCTCAATCTTATAAAAACTGTACTTTTTGCAATTATTCTTAGGTCTGTATTATATTATATTAATTATATGGTGTTACCGTTCTAAAAAAAATATTGGGTCCGTCCCTGAGATAAACTCTAGTTCTTGAGATGCATAGTAATAACACTCAAACTCCTCAATACCTAACATACATACATCACACGATCAACAATATCACAATATTACCAAAAAAATGATATACATACATACGCATCCGATAAAAATTTCATGAAAATTCACCAGAAAACGCAATGCACTAGCAATAGCTCTCGCTTAGTGACATACACAATGCACATCAAACCCAACCCTATGTGGTTAATCACACCACTTAGCGATGCTATCATGGTACATAGCAGTCATGGATCCAATAGTGGTCTAGAATAGCTATCTCGCAATTTGTGGAACAATTGCTCGCTAAATGACCACATTTTGAACACTAAATATCGGTCACATAACCGCTATTTGTAAATGCATTGTTTTTTTTTTTTGTTATGCAACTACTTTGTAGGCTTTTATTTTGGAGTTTGGACTGGGCCTTAGTTTTACTTAAGTCCAGCAATATTAAGGGGTCGTTTACCTAAACACTTACCCGGTAAGCACTTACTGGTAAAATTCAACACTATCGCTTACTTACTTGGTAAGATTTTATTCACTAAAACGCATTGTATGCAACAATTTAATCCCGGTAAGCGCTAACCATGGTAAGAGTGGTCGCCCTCACTTACCGGTGAGACTCTCGATTCTTGCTTTCGCTTTCACCGGGTAAGATTCTTAATCTTTGTCACACCTCATCCTGTAAAGTAAAGCAACTTATAATAATTTGACAAGTGATTTTGTAGAAAAACATAAGTCGTTTCAAATAAGCAATCCCAAACACCCCCTAAATCTATGTTTTGACTAAATAAATAAAAATTCTAATAGTTATATGAACCGTTATACCACCCCGTATGAAGTCACAATCGTGACCATGATTTATGTTTTGACCTTGTATTAATTAGCATGCCCAGCCAAAAATAAACATCGAAACCAAGCCTTATTACATGTCCCAAAATATTCACTTGAACTACGTCATCATGATCAATCCTCCACTCCAAATTAAAGTGCTCGAATATTTTCTAACTAATTACGATAATTTAAATCCATTATTGAATCGCTTAATTAATTTAAACGATTTACTAAAATACCACTCTACGAATAAATAACAATTTATTAAATCGCTAAATGAAATTAAATTACCTAATTAATATTGTAATAAATAAGTTAAATCGATAAATTAAACCACAAGAAATGCCACTAGAGTACAGAGTTTGCTGAAACCCGATCCCGGATTGGACTGAGCCCAAATCAATCCCAGTCTGAGATTTTCTTTTTGTAACCGATCCCGATCCCAACAAAAAAACACCCGGCTCTCGTTCTCCATGTACAAATCCCGGTCCTTAGAACCGGTACTTGACGGAGCCCAAATTGGCCCCAATCTTTTTCCCCAGAAATCAAATTCAAACATATAAAAAACATTTAGAAGATTTTTTTTGTATATCTTATTGAAATACACTTTAAAATATCTAATTGAGTTATTCAAATACATTTTAAATATTTTTTAGATCTTTTTCAGACAAAAATGTAATAAATGTTTTTATGATTACGATTTTTAAAATTTAGTATTGGAGCAATAAAAAAACTTAAATAGGGAACTTGAATTTTTCCCGTAACCGGTCTCGGACAGGGTCGAGCCAGGCCTTGAATTTTCATAAAAAGCGTAACCGGTCTTGGACCGTCAGTTCATAATCAGTCCTAAGCAGGTATGGCCTAGTTTGGTCATCTCTCTCTATTAGAGTCATTCTATCAATCCAATCGAATAGCCTAGAAATCATTCTACGGCCCAATAAGGCTTCGGCCCAACCATTGCCTACCAGACCCAAGTCTAGACCGAGCACATCAAACCACACGGATCCCATGGGACCCGGCCCTGATGAGGTCCACCCAGCCTCCGATCTAACCCAAACCCGTCATGCGACATGAAGCAAAGCACAATGCGGACAAGTAGAATTATTGATTAATTTGAGTCGATTTTCTGTCATTTTGCACTACAACCTAACAAAAATTTCTTGGGGTGAAGTATCGTAATTAAGGATTTAAGGGCACGTCAGAGTTATAATTTCAACTTCGGTTTTGGGTTAATTACACCATAATAATTTTTACTCTCTTAAAATTGAGCAACTAATGCATCACGTTAATCTTACCTTAATTCATCGTGAAACACCTAATTTGCTCCGTAGGCTGAAGTCTCCTCGTCTTAATGACGAGATAAGTAATATAAACCTCCCTCAAAATGGTCATCCAATCGAAGCATAATAACTCTAGTGATAGTACCAAAATTCCACCTTTCTACCCAAACTAACTTGACAAAATATTTAACTAATAGGTTGAGTATTGGATCAAAAGATTAGATTAATCCGATCCGATCCAATGGATAATCAATATTAACATCTAATGAATGGAACCCGATCCGATCTAATCATCCACTGAATTTGGATCAAATCAGATCGGAATAGATGACAAGATCCAACATGCAATGGATGATTGGATTGGATCGAATCAGATCCACTTAAATCCGTTGTATCTATCATTAAAAAGTTCTCATCAAGACAATTAAAATGACAACAAAATAAAAGGTTTATGCAGTTTGCAGTTTTTATTTTATACCTTTCTATATTGTTTTTTATTCAATAAATTAATCAAAATATAGAAAACGTATAAAAATAATATTTTGATGATAGTCAAATGAAAGTTTAAAAGCATAAAATACAATAAATAGAATTTAAAGAATGAATAAAATGTAAAAGAGGAATGCGTATCTAATGTTTTAGAAGAAAACTAGGTTTTATTTTGAAGTTATATTGTTTAATTTTAGGTATGTTCCATCTTGTTCCATAGGGTTGGAGGTTCCACTATGTTCCACATAAAAGTCTACCAAAAGTGGAACACTGATCCTTATTCTATTATGTTATGTACAATGTACCAAGCGCACCCTTATGTTCATTTAGCATTTTAACGAGCATGAAAGAAAACGAACAAGCTTATTTTCTTAACAAACAAACACGAACAAAAAAATCATTGATCCATGTGTTCATGTTTGTTCGGTTAACAAACACGAACAACTCCTCGTACAGCCCTAGGGAGAGGGCCCTGGTTGAAACCCCAACCCATTTGTCAAACCAGCAAGCCAATCAGCCATCCCTTCATGGTGGTTCCAATGCACTCCTGTACATGGGATGTACCAACAAGCAGCAATTCAAACCACCAAGGGTAAGGGCTTGTTAACGAGTTTAATGTGACTCACAGCTTATTTGATCAACTATACATGATTGTTTGGTAGCGGTTTAATGACCTTAATGCAATCCACTTGTGTTATAACCACAGAAAGTGCCAGTAGTGTTGCATTTGGATCCGCTAGCTGACCCTTTCTCACCCTCACTTTCAATGCCACCTCCGCATATGGCAGAGATGGAGAAGAAGCAGAGGTTATGAGTGAAAAAGCAGACGATGTGGCAGCAACATCCATATAACACGAGGTTACACATTCCCTAAGTGAAAACTCGGGCACGATGTTTTCTCTGGATTTGAAAACTGATTAAAATGAGAAAATCTTTCGATTTAACATGATGATAACAAAAAAGGGTCATTCAAATACTATGTTTTAAGTCAAACATTTACTTGCCTTATTGCTGCAGCAATCTTCCCATACCAATCATCATGGAATCATGAAGTTTGCATTTCTGCCAGATGCCTGATGATGCAAGGACGAACAGTTACAAAAAATTACCATCCACAAAAACACGAAACTAGGATGCAATGCAAGACTGTGAAAAGGCGTCTAATATCCATGATCCAATATCCATGTGATTATGAAAACGAAGAAAGAGATGCATAGGACCAAGCACGTCATTAACGGTGTGTTTGGTACACGAGACAAGACAAACCAAAAACTTGTTCCACGTTTACCACAACATTAAACTGCTACAATACAGGATTGAGCGAGACAAAAATGTATTTTTGTATCCCACTAAAATAGGTGGAACAAAAATTAGGGAAACAAGACAAGATTGGTAAATTACTAAAATACCCATGTCAAATTAAAACACTAAACCTTCAACAATTCTTTCACCCGCCTATCTCATTCGCGCCTGACCAGTCCAGGCCATGTACCAAACGCACACTACAACAAAATTGCCTATAGGACGCCTAGATTGTCTAAAGCGTCCTAATATAATACTTTATAGAACTTAGGTTTATAGGACCGAACTATAAAGCATCCTATCTAAAAGCGTTACAATAGATTTATAGGACGCTTTTGGGTCTTTTAATAAGCTTTTTAGGATGCTTTTAAAATAAAGTGTCCTATTAGCTATTTTATAGGACACTTGTGTCTCTGACATTTTTTCAAATAGTGTTGTATAAAATAGTTAATACGACATTTTATTTTAAAAGCATATGAAAAAAACGTCATATAAACCTAATGTAATACTTTTTGATAGGACGCTTTTTGGTTTGGTAGTATAAACATAAGTCCCTTCTATAACGTATTTTTTAGGACGCTTCTACATTTTAGGCGTCCTATAAAATAAATTTTGCTGTAGTGGCACCCTAAGGTTTGAACAAGCATACCATGTATGGATGCCGAAGTATTTGCACAGCATAGACGTTCCTTGCATGGTCCTGAGAAAGTTGTAGCCGCACATGTGGAATGTTTTTCCAACTCTCCCCAAGAGCAGGCTTAAGAGTACCTCCTTCTCCTCCCACCATATGATTTGTAACCTTAAACACACGTCATAGTATTATTCCAACGCCACGTGCATCGAAGTAGTTGTGTTGGGAAATTTTCCCACAAGATTATTTTTGTTCTAAAAGGGTTATACATGCTAAAATAGATTCATGACAAAAACTGGAATAAAATTTGCAAACGGGTATAAGATGCCAGAAAGAGAGATTAAACCTACAACATCACAAACAGCACCATAAGATGCCAGAAAGAGAGGACTGAAGCAACATGATACTCCCTCCGTCCCAAAATAAATGTCCACATTTCTATTTTAGTTTGTCCAAGAATAAGCGTCCACTTTGAAAAGTTAGTATGTAGCTTTTACTCCCTTATCGTTAAGGGTAAAATTGTCATTTAGTTAATTAAAAAGTACAATAATTACACATTCTTACAACTGTGCTTTTTTCATTGTGGACGTTTATTTTGGAACGGAGGGAGTACAAGAACAACATGAAGGTAGCTCACCACTACGGCGATGTTGTGTCTATCTGCCAACTCCTTCAGCAAGTATCCAACAGAAACCATCAAAGCATGTCCTGCATTTTACCCAGTTAGGCAACCATCATCTATTTCTAAAAACTAAAACATCAATAGCTCAAAACAAAAAGAGTTCTCACTTCGAATAAACCACAAGTTTCTTCTTTCTTTCCCAACAAAGAAGAAAGCTATTTGGACCTAGTATCACATCCCAAGTTTTTTTTTTTTTTTTTTGTAAGGGTGTCCGGGCCAAAGCCCGACTAATCCCCGGCAAATTTGGAGGCTAAACATGGCCCCACTTAAATGTCGCCAACACTCCCCTCCCAGGGCACGAACTCGGGTTCATGACTATGCCATGCCCAAGCCTTAACCACTAGGCAAGTTACTGTGCAAATTAAGGGAAAGATGGAAACTTCTTCATGTAGATAAGTTTGTGCCCGAAAAACAAATGTCCAACTTCATACCATCATATTTCAGGCATGTAAAGTGACATCACTTAAGCTCTTTCTTAAAGAGAAAGATCATATATATACTACATATACGATGCTATGAATGGCCTTGTAGCTGCTGCTAAATGAACTTTATGTTAGAAAAGAACCCTTTAACCTTTGAGATCATGTGTTAAAATCCTCCTTCACCCCTCTGCCGATTCCAGAAAAAGGAACCTGTTAAGGGAGAAGTCATTTCCACATGGCCCATGTATTTGATAAGCTGCTATGATATTTCAAATTGCCAAAACAGGACTTGATCACTGTCTTCATTRTCTTCAACACTAATCCCTCCCCTCCCCCCCCCCCAACCAGAAAAAAACCACACACTCACATCCTCCAAATCCCCTCTCCCCTCACCACAGGCAAGTTGAAAGAATGTAGGGGGTTCACAACTAGACAAGGAGAGTAGATAAGTAACATTTGCATATTTCCAACATTTTTACCAATTTCACTAAGATTTAGGAAAATCAAGGATCTTCATATACCAAGCTGGTTTTACAATAAAATAAGGAAGACATACCATGTGCATTGCTGCCCCCTAAAATTGGAGCAATAAGTGATGATATTGAATCAACTATTATCAATCGTACTTGGTATCCTGTCTGCATTAAGATAAACTTTTAGACGAGAAAGGGCATCAAAATCTCTATATTCAACATCAAATAATGCAACAAGTAGTAAAGATAACAAAAGGTGAAAGAGGGAATTGCGCTTTATTTATTTAAACCTGAGACTTCAACTTCAACTTTTGCTGATGAAGAACATTCAGCAAGGCATAAACGTCAAAAACAGCATGGCATTCTATGTTTCTCATTGCTTGTTGAAGGATTCCATTGATCTACAAGACAATACACATGAGAGTACATGATTATCGAGGACTTAGGCTCGGGGATGTAAGTGTCATCTCACGAAACAAGTCACCACAGGCTAACCAGCAAAAAGTTGTATCCAACACAAACTCTCTCACAGAATGCTGTCATTCATGTAGGCAGATGTTCCTCATATATGTAGAACATAAGAACCAAGGATTGTTTAATATCTGTCCTCAGGCCTACAGGAGCCTGTCCAAAGTTCAAACATGACTACATGTACAGCTTACACACCTCTTTTGGTCACATTTCTAACCAAGATGAGTCCAACTGAACATTCACAATTAATAATCTCTTTGTCCTAAAAAAATGATGATTTGACTTTGGCACACCTCATTTGGTATGTATAGTCCAATTATAAACCAAACACTTTTTGCTGATCTTTTCTATAGAAAGGAAGTTTAATTTTGAAATTACATATTTGCCAAATGAATTAATGAAGCAACTATTCCCCCATTTCAAAATATAAGACTGTTTTGTGCTCAAGTAAATAAGCAAAATCATAGTAAAACGTACATAACATAGAAAAAAATTATTTAAGTTGTCACCGAATATCCACAAGAAGGTCAAAGTAGGCATTTATGAGACAGAGTAATTAAGATTTCAAGAGAAAAAAAGGTCAGAAATACCTTATTCTCAGCTGAACCAGATATATGAGTAACTATTTGCTGCATGCGTGTAGGTGAAAATGAGTTTCCCGAGTCAAGAAAGACAACACCACCCAACTTCATAGCCACATTTGATGCAAACTGAAAGCAAACCTGGGAAATTGTAGCAAAAATGTAACAGTTCTTATGACCCAAGCTGCTCTCATGATAAACAAACTGACAAATATAAGGCAGAGGCATTTCTTAACAAATTATGGGTTAATCTGGATATTGTTTTGTGATGCCATGGATTAGATTCTAACTTGTGTTTTTCCAGATGATGACGGTCCTACTAACTCCGTTACATGTCCCTCATGCAATCCACCTTGGAGTAACATATCAAAGCTGGTTCACTGTATGCAGTCAATAACTCGTCTTGATAGTATTCCCATGATAACATAGATAAAAGCATTCATAATAAGATATACCTTTCACATCCTGTCGATAAACAATGTTTATTTTGTTCTCTATCTTCCAATAACACCAGACCGTTCATCCATGGTTGATGGTATGTCTCTATTATAGACAGGATTTGGTTGATACCCTGTTGTTCAACAGAGTCCGTGTAACATCGAGTATAAAATAGAAGAAATCTATGCATTAAAACAAACAGTAGCTAAACAATTAACCTGTTTTAATCTATCTGAATTAGCGAGTTGCTCCGTTGAAGCCACTAACATGTACACATCATGAACTAAGAAATCTTCAACTGTGCAAAGGAAAATACTCAGGAGGTTCACAGTGCTGACAACTCTGCTATATATTGTACATGCATATTTGACAGATAATAAGTATCTTTCAGGAATGAGACATTGCTACAGAAGGACTATGAAAGAGTTGCAGATATCCAAGGAACAAGTTGATAGACTTGATATATGTGGGCTTAGCTCAACCGGCAATAAGACTTGGGCATTTTGGAACCCTCCTCAGAGGTCACCGGTTCAAGTCCTAGGTCACTGGGTATTCTCCTGGCTGTTCTTCAGGGGGATTAGTTGAGGTGAGTGTAAGCTGGCCTGGACGCCCATGGTTAACAAAAAGAACTAGAGTCTAGATATATGTATTAAGTAAATATGTCAAACTTCAAACAGTATTTGTGTTTCTGCATCTGACTAAGGGGCCGTTCACCAAACGCTTACCAAGTCACATTACCTTACCGGATGAATATGGCAAGGGCCAAGAATCGAGCAAAGGCAAGGACCGAGAGTCTTACCCGGCAAGTGAGGGATACTACTCTTACTATGGTTAGTGCTTAACGGGTAAATTGTTGCATAGGATACCGTTTTGGTGGACTAAAATCTTACCCGGTAAGTAAGTGATAGTATTCAATTTTGCTGGTAAACACTTACCTGGGTAAGCTTTTGGAAAACGGGCCCTAAGTGCATTAAACCCATCTGACTTGCAATACCTAGTTCAAACAGTCTTGAGTTAAATAAAAACACAGTAACCATTAGAACTTAGAAGCTTTTGCATATGATACCGCCTTCACTTTTGAAACCGAATTAGCCAAGGGAAAATGAGCTAGAGTAGATATCATAGAGCTAAAACTAAGCATTGCAAACTAATCCCTCATTCTAAAATGAACCTAAGTAGAGATTGAACCTATGTTGAAGGCCAATCATCACACCTGAACTCATAAAAATCTTCAACCATCAAAATCTTAAATCTGTTCCAACTCCAAGAAACATGATATGAACGTTCGGGAGATGATACCCGACCCTAAAATTAGTTCATATTTCAACTAAAGAAAAGAGCCAAATCCAACCTCATTTTCAACCAAACAACGAATTGATCCGCTTAGAGATACACGTTTAACCTGTGAAAGACAAGAAACATAACCTGAAATCACCAGGCTCTTCATCTACAATCCAACTCGATGAAACCACACAAATAAAGAGTGAACATGTTTCCTTCTCCTACTTTTCGTTGAAGAAATGATGACATGGCAGAATACAGACTAAAGAATGATATAGTAGCAATATGCAGAGAATATACAGCAAAAAGATGAGTCCAATATAGATACAAAGGTATATTTTATACGGAATCAATTTAGGGCTGAGATCTTTTGAGTAAAATAGCATTCAAGCAATGGATCATTGAAAGTAGTTTATTAACCGGAAAAAATGCCGTGAGATGCACAGAATTGAAGAAAAATGGAGTCGATTATCGCATATTCTTGCTTCAGAGATTTCAATGCCCCCATTCTCTCTGTCGTTTCGAACCGCAGAGGGTGCTGACGTGCTGTTAAAATTACTTCAATGGAGTTACTTACAGCAATGAGAAAAATAACGCATGAACTAGAATGATTGTGATTTATGGGTTTAGCTCATTTTGATAACTACGATGGTTAATAATTTTTGGAACATGTATTTGAACATTCTTGGTATTTTGGTGTCATATATGTATGGTTGTTTAATAATGATGGTATTTAATTATTTTGAACATGTTTGATAGATTTTTAAAACAATTTTAATATCAATTTAATAACATCATTTCATTTATGGTTATTTTTTAGTTATATATTTTTATATTGTTTTACATAATAAAAATTTAATGATTATTTTATTAAAATATTTTTAATTTTAAAAAATTAAAGTAATTAATATTTATTTTAAAATATTTTTAATTTAAAAAATTAATTTATCATTCCAATTTCAATGCTATATTGTGTGAACTAAACAAACAGATTTTAATTCTTTTAATATATTCAATTCCAATTATGTCAACCAAACAAATAGTCAAACCTAACAACAATTCATTCTAATTCCTTCAAAGTCAAATTTTTTTATCAGATTCCATTACATTCAAAAACATTATGTGAACCAAACGCCACCTAAAAAGGTTTGTAAGTTTGAAGTTTTATTTCACTTTTGATTTATAAGAAATGGTGTTGAAGTCTGAAATCTAAATCAATAAGACTGTTTGTTTTATAATCTGATAAACGTCTAAATTTGTTTAAATTGTCAGTCCTACCCATTTAAAAATTATATTGTTGAATTTATAGATATATTTATACAATTTCACATATTTATTCATCATCATTAACGGTGTCTAATACATTTAAATCATATTAAAATACATCAATTGATAGAGTTGAGGAGTGATTTGGTAAGGATCAATTGAGAGAAATGATGGATTAAGGTTAATCAATTGAGAAACACCGTTGTTGAGGGTTTGAAGAAAAATAAGAAACAAATAAGAGGTCGGTTTACCTCTTATCAGATAAGAGAAAAATAAAACATAAGTGCCGTGAAAAATTGGAAAAAACAAACAATTTGAATGACCTCACCTCTTAAAGAATCAGACATAAGAGGCTGCTAAAAGTTTTTTATATAAAAAAAACAAGGCCTAGGTGTTTGTTTCCAACTTAACAAGCGGATTAACAGGTTTGATTTTAACGTAGATTTAACATGTTAAGTTAGCTATCTTATCTTAATATATTAAGGGGCCGTTACTAAACGCTTACTTGGTAAGTGCTTACCGGGCAATTTTCCTCACCGGATTAACATGGCAAGGGCCAAGAATCTTACCTGGTATGAACGACGATAAGGATGGAGAGTCTTATCCGATAAGTGAGGGTGACGACTCTTACCCGGATAAGCGCTTACCGGGTAAATTGTTGCATAAAATACCGTTTTGATGTACTACAATCTTATCCGATAAAAATAATTATAATGTCGAATCCTACTGGTAAGCACTTACCGAGTAAACATTTGGGTAAACGGCACCTAAGTTAAAGAAAATTCCAAAATTACTCTTGTCCTACAATTTTTTATCACACGTCTTGTTAAAAAAATAAATAGTTTACCAACATACATAAATTAAAAATTGTAATCTAACAATAAGACTTTATTATTTTAAATATCTTTTAAGTCAAGAAGTATTGTGTTATGAAGTCGTTGAATTCATATTATTTATGTTATCTTAAATAATTCATATTATTATAACATTTTTGTCATTTTAAATATTTATCGAACAGTTCATTTTCATTCAACACTTACTTATACATAAGGTTATAATGATAATATTTGTTGTTCAGATTATTTATTTAGAACGAAAATCATACAACAATTTATTATTTAGCTAGACAAACTAATGGTTAGAGACAACTTAACAGACTCGGAACTTAATGGATAAAAAATCAAATAGCTCCTTACATTTGTTCATTTGTAACTTAATGAGTTTAATGGGACTTACAGCTTATTCGATGAATTATACAAAACTGTTTTGGTAGTGGCTTAATGATATGAAAAGTGGTTTGTTCAGTAAGATTATAGGGAAAGTTTTATATAGATTGCCAAGTTTCCAAATATGTCTCTCTCAATTAAAAAAACATGTTCCTTCCATATATGGAAAAAAGAAAATCACTTTAATCTACAAATTAATGTATATAGACAACTTTCATACAAGACTTAATGTAAACGAGGTTGGGTTATTGTTTTTCAATGATTTAGGTCCTTAAATAAATTAACCATTTTTTAAAAACATTAATTTATTGCAAATGAAGACAATAAAATGAAACAACAAAGGCCTAATCTACAAGATATAGATTAAGACATAACAGAAACACAAGCAAAATAAAAAACAGAAAATAGAGGGCAAAGAAGGAAAAACGCTCCACACTGCAACCAAGAACTCAGCCAATTGGGATGGAGCACCACCCAGACCAGGAGGAACGAAGCTAGCTGAGATGTACAAAAACCTCAAGCCTAAACCTTGACTTAGGCTTGGTTCAAACCCATGTCTGAAAAAGCCTTGCCTATAGAGACCAACATAGGCCTTGCTCGAAGTCCGGCCCAAGATTGGCCTCAAAGCCCAATCAAGTTGAGATTTTAGGGGCAAACCCGAGGCTAGGCTCAACTTGAAAAATCCGATTAAGCCTGGGGAAAAAGAACAAAAATTCCCAACTTGGAAAAAAAAACTGATCATACTCTCTTTTAACCCCAAACCACAACCTAAATCAAACCTAAAAAAGTCTAGGCTATTTTTACACCCTGAAAAATATGGGCGGCTCAGAGCCAGCCCTCAAAATGCCCCCGACTTTGTACATCTCTACATGTAGTTGGCTCAAGAAGTAGGTTCGTTAGAAATACAACCATAAAAACTCATCAAGTTAATTTCTCATTCAAAAAAATTATTATAATATAATAAGTTAAGGACAAAGAAATCAATCATAAATCAGAAACGTTGTTCCATGCGAAAATATTAATGATATATGCATCTAGGTAAGGAAAATACATATACATATATTTTTTAATATATTTACAAATCACTAATACAAACTTTATTGAGTTTTAATTAAATTACCTGACTTGAAAAAATCATATCTCTAGTAAATCACACACAGATTTGGTTTTTTTTACCCAAAAAAAAAAAAAAACAAATATGATTGATTAATTTTAATTAAACTATTCCAAGAGCATCTTTAAAACTGTGTATTAAACGTGAGCAACCAATAACCATATATCGGGTACCAAAAAGATTTTATCACCCCACTAAAAAGGTAGGAAATCCATAATCCAGGATTTATGTCCATCAACAATACTAGCTAGTCATTATTCCAATAAGCATAAGAGAAATAGCATGTAATCCGTATACAGCTGCTTTCTTATTTTGATGGAGCAAAGAAGATTTCGCTGTTCATCCTCTTCGAACGGAAGGTCTTCTCGATCTCAGGACTCACATTGAAGGAAGCTTGTAGCACCCCAGCAGACAACGCCTTCCATGCCGATGTTCTTCCAGCCATATGAGTGAATATCGGGCTGCCATAAGATGTTCATCGATCATTACAACAATGCAGTATGCAAACCTCACATCTATCCCAAATAGTTAAGAGTACTAAATAAACAATATTGTGAAAAGAAAACAGAGACTTACTTGGGAGTGGAGATGATAGAGAACCATTCCAGGCCTTCGTTATCGGAAATCTTGGAAACAACAAAGAACCTAGGAACAATGAACAAATTCCCGGCCTTGACAGTGGTTTCAAGAACACGTTTCCCGTCAACGCCAACAATTTGAGCACGTCCAGTGCCCCTAACGATATAAGTCACTTGAAGCGCAGAGTCGCAGGAGAATCCAGGAGAGCACATAGCATTACCATCCAACCTCACAAGATCAGCTCCTAAACCAACTTCTCCAACCAAAGGCAAGTTCTTTGTGTTCAACACAACCACCCTACCACCACCCTTAATGTCAACATCCAATGGAGCATCTAAACAGTTCAGAGCCATCCCATTTCTGTGATCTTTATTGGGTTCAGGCATCTTAACACCAGCATCAACTTTGATGATTCCGTTGCCAGTTTGGTTTCCCACAAGTTGTTTAGCGGTGGCTTCATCTACGTCCCAAGCACGACAGACAAACTCCATGGAGAAACCAGTGAAGATGCCATTGGAGCCGGTTAAGAAGATGTCAGTGAATGAGCCTGGTTTGTGGGCAGTTTTGGTATCACCCAAAAAGAGGACAATGAGCTCGGTGTCCTCTTTGTTGTACCACCATGTGATTACACCAAAAGGGAGGGCAATGGCATCACCCGTCTTGATTGCTAGGACTTTCTCTTCTTTCTCAGGCAGGACAATGCCAGCAACTCCATTGCCTTGAGACAGAAATTGTATATATGTGTGTGAATCCAAATAGAGAAAAATGGAATGTGGGTTGTTTTTTTGAAATAAACTACAAGAACTTACACCAACATGAAAATCAAAAATGTAATGTGGGTTGTTTTTGGATACATGAGACATTTGAAATAAATTACAAGAACTTATACCAACATGAAAAATAAACTACTGAATTGGACCACAGAAAGATCAAAAATTGTATCAAGTTAAGGTAAACAGAAAATAAATCTGCAGCACTTATGATTGAAATATCAAAACAAGCAATCATGATACTATTCTACTATAGAAGTTAAACGGATTCAACACTGAAACAAGCAATTAAACAATATTACTATATTAAACCCAATAACAAGGAAAGAAACAGGAGAAAGATGAAAATTAAGGGGCGCACCAATAAGAAAACAAATGGAAAAGAGAGAAGCGCCAATTCCACTTGAAATCTATAACGTTCAATTTAGTAAACAATGAGAAGATAACATTTTCCTTAATACTGTTTTAATAAATAGCAATTGAGTAGCCTCCAAAACTTGCCCAATTTTTAATATGGAATTGGTAGACCACGTTTAAATTTGACTTTTCTTATATTCAGTGGAAAAGTAATTGTTCACAAAAGGTTAAGACAATGATAATATTATCCGCTAACACCGAATCAGATTCAGAGGAAGGTCGTGAGAGTTTATTCTAATAATTTTCCAGATCTCTTATGCATTTCTATCAATTTAAAATAGAAAATACACTTGATAAAAAAAACTCCAATATTAATTATCAATTACGCACAAATATGTGTGCGTCTTGTAATCAATATATGCACGAAACTAAGCTTGAAATCGGAACAAAATAAATGATATAACTGCATATGGATAATGATCGAACAGTAGTCGAAATCAAGTTACCGATCAAAATTGATCCAGCAGTAGTCGGAATCAGGTTACAGATCAAAATTGATCTAATAGACTCGGAAACATGTGATTGGTCAAATTAACAAACTAAACAACAGTGATTAAAAACCGAATCATGATCGAAACACAAAAAAAATCAATAATCGACAAACGAAATTCGAGGAAATCCACAAAATAAGCGAAATTACGCAATTGAAATCTATACCTTGAAGAACGTAAGCAACCTTGGCGGAATCTGAGTAACGAGGGAGAGCAAGACCGCCTTTCTCAAGAGCGAGCTTACCAGCACCGATGTTACCTTGACGAAGCATTGGTAGATCATTGGGGCACCATGCATGGTACGATCCTCCGGCTCCTCCGTACAACTTCTGGGGCAATTTTGGGGACAAATCAATATCCATTGTCGATTAAGGAAGAAGAACAAGAAGAATGAAAAATCGAATTCGATCGATTATCGAAGAGAATTGGGATTATGTGATGGGAAATGGGGGAGGAGAAGGGGTGTATTTATAGTGAAAGGGAGGAGTGAGGATGCAACCCACTTGTTTCAGTAAACTGGAAATGTGGAGATTTGAGACCCCGATAAGTTGATTTCAAAAAGTATACCCGATAAAATAGTATTTATCTGGTATTTATTTGTATTATTTTTATCTTTTAAATATCATAAAAATATATTGTATATTTATGAATTATGTTTATATATAATGACTTAATTATTTTTGAGAACTTTAAAATTTATGAGATGTTTAAGAATTATTCACATAATGTTTTTTCCATCTAAATATAGTATTTAACGTATTAATTAATATATATTTGTTTTATATATATTTAGTTCAAAATGTCAAAAAATTTATGTGTTTTTTTTGTTTTATAAACACATCAAAATGGTTCATATTGTGAACAAAGTACATGTCAAACAACACATATTGTAAAACAGATATATGTTAATCATTACATTAAATTCTAACAATATATGAAAAAGATACAATAACACATGATACTTTGATTCTGAGAAATCTCACAACTTAAAAAGTTATTAAAAAAATGTCTTTGTATAAACATATTTATATTTATTTATTTTTGAAGTAAAGTTATACATCATATATCATTTACGTATACTCATATATATATATATATATATATATAT